CTCAGCATTGGACAGATCATCTAGGCAACAAATTAACAGAGTAACCATTATCCTTTCAGAAAGAGAGAAGAAATCTAGGGTAATTAGAGGGGGAGGAAATGGGGGAATGGAAGAGATTGGACAAGGAGCATAAAGAATAATTACGATTTATAACAACATGTATGCTAGTTATATTGATTTAATCAACATATCTCAATGTTCAATGCCAAAAATATGTATAATCGATTTTGATTCAATAAATAAAATAAATTTTTTTTAAAAAAAGAAAGAAATGTATGAGAGTGGGCCGATAGCAACTCTATGGACTCTCTTTTTCCTTCTCCAGAATCTTCCCCAGGCGTGACAAAGGTGACCATCACAGAAAAAGTACCTGCTGAACGNTATATCTCAATGTTCAATGCCAAAAATATGTATAATCGATTTTGATTCAATAAATAAAATAAATTTTTTTAAAAAAAAGAAAGAAATGTATGAGAGTGGGCTGATAGCAACTCTATGGACTCTCTTTTTCCTCCTCCAGAATCTTCCCCAGGCGTGACAAAGGTGACCATCACAGAAAAAGTACCTGCTGAACGTCATATGGTTTCTTCATGGGAACAAGTAAGTGTTGCCATGCAGAATTCTCACCTCCTAACAAAGGGAGGTCAGCTTAAATGCCCCTGAGAAGGAAAGGTTAGGGGAGGAAACCTATTCTGATCTCAGGCCACAGCTGCCTTCAAAGTAATGTTCACTCTTTCCTCTGTTCCTGTGTAAGCCTCTTAACACTCCCTTCTGTTCCATGCCATTTCCCCAACATGTAGTGTCTCCTTGAGCCCTGCTATCCTATGGAGGAAGTGGATATTGGAAGTTGTATACAACAAAGCTAAGAACCCAGCATGGAAAGAAACAGATTTGTATTAATAAGCATTGTGCTGGGCAGAACATGGTTAAGTGTTGCAGGTAACTACTAACCAGATCAATAGCTGGTGCTTCCCAACCCTCCTCTGAACTTTTAATCAGTAAAAGTTTTTAAGCTCAAAATGGGCAAGGCATTGTGCTTAGTGTTGAGCCTCGGGGATTCAATAGTAATTTTTTAAAAGGCACTGTTCTTACCTCTTGATCTTACTATCTAAGACATACTGTAGATTGTTACAAATACAATTACAAACTGGACTGTGAAAGTACTGTGAAAGAGAAAGGGAGCATTGTCAAGAGGCCTGACCTAATCTGAAGGTTTTCCCAAAGAAGCTGTGAGAAGTTGTTAGCCAGGCAGATGAGATCGGGGAATTTGGGGTTTTCAACCTGTGTGAAAGCTTTGAGATGCAAAGGATCATATTGTTCCAGGAGCATAAAGAAGGAGCGTAAGAGAACAAGGGAGAGAGGTCATCAAGGACCAGGACATGCAGGGCTTTGTAGATCCTCAGGAGTTTGTTTTTATCTTGGGAGGAAAGAGGAGCCATTGAAATGTTTTCAGTAGGGAACTGGGAAGGTCAGATTTCTGCTTTGGAAAGATCACTGTGGCTGTGGAGTAGCAAGTGGACTTGATTGGGGAGGAGACAGCAAGAAATTGCCCACTATTTAATAAGTGCCTACTAACACATATCACATAAGTTATTTCATATTAAATGAATAATAACTCTGCAAGGTAGGCATTGGTATCTCCATTTTATAGATGAAGAAACTGAGGCTTAAAGAAGTTAAAGAATTTGTTCTGGGTCACATAGCTACCAAGTGGCAGAGGCTGAATTTGAACTCAGATTTACCTGCCTCTAAGCACATGCCCTTTCTGCTCTGCCAGGCTGCCCCTCTAATGAAGGACAACACAGTGGGAGTCTTGCCCTTGGCAGGCAAGCAGCCCATGGGTATGTGTTCAGTTCTGCCAGCATGACTTCCCTCCCTGGGCTGAGCCAGCAGCAGCTTTTCTGGCAGCTCAGTAACTGGGAGTTGAGTTTTTTCTCCAGGATGGGAAGTAGTCCATGGACTCCTTGAAATGTAATTCACATGTATTAAGTAGGTACATTTTTCTAGGGAAAGATTTCTTTAGTTTCTCCATAACCTCAGAAAGCTTAAGAACAGGTTTTTGTATAATTTTTTCTGTCAAAATGGGGAAATACTCTGCTATTTTGTTACCTATTTTTTAACTT